AGACTGTAAAATTGGGGTAATATGATCATATTTTCTTGACCTGGTAAGGATTCTAGCCGCTGCATTTTGGACTACCTGTAGCTTGTTTATTGAAGATGCAGGACAACCAGCTAGCAGTGCATTACAATAGTCCAGTCTAGAGGTCATGAATGCATGAACTAGCTTTTCTGCATCAGAAACAGGTAACATGTTTCGTAACTTGGCAATGTTTCTAAGATGGAAGAATGCTGTTTTTGTAACATGGGAAATATGATTTTCAAAAGACAAGTTGCTATCTAATATAACACCCAGATTTTTGACTGTAGAGGAGGTAACCGTACATCCATCTAGTTGCAAATTGTAATCCAAGAGATTCTGTGTACTGTCTTTTGGTCCAATAAGTAATATCTCTGCCTTATCCGAATTTAATAGGAGAAAATTATTGGTCATCCAATCTTTTACATTTTTAACACACTCTGTTAGATAATTTAGAAGTTTCATCTGGTCTTGTTGAGATATACAGTTGAGTATCATCAGCATAACAGTGGAAACTAATCCCGTATTTTCTAATAATATTACCAAGGGGCAACATGTATATCGAAAATAGCAGAGGACGGAACATTGATGTTTGATATTATGTGAAAGTGACATTTTGTTTTTAAAAATATGAATTCAATAGTGATTCACACTCAAAATCCAGGAAAATGATAGTCATGGAGGATGCGATTAATAAAGATTTCCTGAATTTTGAGCATGAATCACTACTGAATCCTTGTTACGATTTATGCACCAAAACAAGACGAGACAAGAAAGTGTGATGGTAACGTCCTTGTAGAATCTGCTGTATAAAAATATGACAAAGCTAAAACAAATTTAAAAAAATACATTTCTTAACTTGATTCTGGTATTTGATACATGACATAACCATTCAAAAGTTTGGGATTACTATGATTTTTTTGTTTGTTTGTTTAAGAAATGTATACTTTTGTTCTTCAAGGATGCATTAATTTAATAAAAATGACAGTAAAGACATTTATAATGTAAAAAAATATGTATATTTCAAATAAATGCTGTTCTTCTGAACTTTCTATTCATCAAGGAATCTTGTCGCTGCATAATTCCACACTTCATTAAGCAGTACAACAATTTCCAACTGATAATAATCAGAAATGTTTCTTGTGCAGCAAATCAGCATATTAGAATGATCTCTGAAGGATCATGAGACACTGAAGAGAAGTTGAGATCTGACATCACAGGGGGAAATGTTTTTTTTATTTTAAATTGTAAAATTATTTTACAATATTAATGTTTTTCAATATTTTTTTTATCTGATAGCCTAAATGCAGTTGGTGAACATGAACAAAGAACCTTACTAATACAAATCCTTAGAACAGTATCTTATTATTTCATATCAAAACAAGCACAAACACACTTATGAACATTTGTTAATAAAATGATTTTAAGATAGTTTATTTAACATGAAATTGCTTATTCCATTCCATAAAATGCAGTGAAGTATTTGTTTTCTCATTTACAGTGCACCAAATGTAGGCTACTTTTAAACTTTTTTTCCATACAATTTGGTTTAATCCAAAATTTTACTTATTAAATGAACACTTTCATGCTTGTGTGTGGTCTTAGACTCCAGTCATTTTGTAAATATAGCCTAAGCCTAACAGTTTAAGAACAATCACACCAGCACAGATGAAAAACGATTAGTCCACAATCTAAATAAATTTTGATGGATTTCTAGCATTAAATCTTCTCTATTAGATTTCTGCTACAGAGTCAACACAACATACCACTCTATCAGGTTTTAATTCCTCCACCCACTGCAACCCTACAATAATCGCCATCATCTCTGCCTTATAAACTGACAACTGATCAGGTAATCTTTTCCCAATAGTGACATTCAATGTTGGTATGTTCCTATGCCTACCCTATTTTCTTCATCTTTGGATCCATCTGTATAAATATCTAAATAACTGTAAAATGTGCTTTTTATGTATTGACTTGCCATGTGTCCTTTCTCACTCTCTTCCCATTTATCCTTTAGTTCCATTATATTTAAATCAACCTCAGTTTTTGGAAACAACCAAGTAGGGATATTACTAATAGGAGTAGGAGTGTTAAAACAGATACTGTCTAATCTATATTCCTCTGATTTAGCCTTTGTTACCCTTCCAAAGCCATTTCCTTGAAAAGAGTTGTATTCCCAACATTCTTTAATAACACTGTTTTCAATATTCCACTCACAAGAATTTGCCAGATTATTAGAAACTAAAGTAAGATCAATACAAGACAATGTGTTAGAACGTATGCCAATTCTTGTACCATTTCCATTATTTAGACAAACTAGCAGCCTAACATCCATCAATTCTTCCACTACTTCCCCATTATTATCAGTGTGCATACTTCCCCAAAGACTATTGTGTGCATTGAAGTCTCCGCACCATATTTATTTCCTTTTTCCTTGACTCCTAACTATGTCCTCTAAAACGTCTAGGCTTAATCATTTACATGGGTTATAAAAGTTGATTACTACCAAGTTCCCATCTGATTTGATTACTAACTACTCCCCATCTGATTTATATACTTCAATAATCACACATTCTATTTCTATTGAAGTTGCTATTCTTTTAAATATCCCATCCCTTACAAATGTTGCACAGCCTTCACCTTGATTTCCACCTCTATCAAACCTGACAGACTCCTATCCAGGTATAATAAAATCAAGCTGAGGTCGAAGCCAAGTTTCTTGAATGCAAACAATATTAGGTTTGACTTCAGATTCTGCTACAAACTTTTTAAACTCTTGTCCATTTGCAATCAAGCTTCTAGCATTTCACTGCAAGAGGTGGAATACCATTACAAGATTAGTTAACACTC